TACACCGCAGCAAGCGCTGCACGTCAGTAAGGCCCATCACCGGCCATACTAACCGGGAGACCTTACAGAGGGGTCTCTCCACTGCACGGTTACCATTTCCTACTTTGTGATCCATCATTTACGGGGAGACACTGTCAGACTATGCAAATGCTCTATACCCCACCAAGCTTGCGGTCACTAGTCCTTAGCATCCACGGATGGCTCCTGCCTGAATTACTCATCACCGTGATGGTTACAAAACTATTTTCGTACCTTTCATCCTCGCAAATGTGTTTACTGACACTTCGTGGTAGGCTGAGACTTCCCTTACCCGTGTATGTACTCACTCACTAAGAGTATGTGCTCACATCTAACTCAGTAAGCCTGTTCTGCTACCGTGACTGTCAAATGCCCCAGGTACGAGGGAGGAAGCTCTGTGAAGCTGACCCCTACGTCCTTCTGACATGTTCGTCACTCGAGCACTTCCGTGCGTGGTGGCACAAGATGTTCCATTCTGTACTTTCCCTGTACCCGCCCTGGAGCCAGATATTCCTCTAAGTGCTGGGTCCTTTTAGCAGCAGGTTTTTTAGAAACCAAGATCTGATCTCAAGATAGCTCACTGCTAAAAGCATACCACGGCTTCTAGGTGCTTTCTGTAGACAGAGGTACCAGACATATTTTTATAAGTTATATTTTTAAAAATTCCATCTAACTCCAGAAAAATACTACTTTGAGCTTTGGACAACACATACTTAACAGAAACATCCACACACAAAAAGCAGACGGTGACCCAGCCTCCGTGGCGCAGGCTGTGGCACGCTGGGCTATGAGGCTGGAGCCATGAGGACAGCCCAGGGTTCCAGCCACTACTGTGGATGCGCAAGTCAGGAGAACTCCTACTCCGGTACTAAGAAGAGTAACTTAGCAAAGCCTGAGAATATGCCCGGTGGTAATGGCTTAGCAACAGGGCCCCGCTGTACAACCCTGGAGCTACCCTGGAGGCCTGGGCTCAGAATCCAGCTGAAATGAGCCCTTTGGGAGCGTGTTTGTGATCCCGACTGCAGGGACGATCGCGGCACGGCAAGGTCCTGCCAAGGCTGTCTATCTCACACTCTCTCAACAAATAAATAAACTTTAAGAAACTCCAAAGAATAACTAATAATTGATAAATAAGGGGTTAGAGAGAAAGTCAGGCCGTTGTTCAAAGATTATAATTTTTTAAAGAATTCCTTATTTAATTTTACCCATTATTTATTATATGTATTTTAGTTCACCAGAGAGAGAAAAGGAAGATGTGAAAGCAAGCCACCAGATTCCAGGGTTGAAACCAGTCGGCCAGCACCTGAACAACTACATCGCCTGCTGACCCCATAAAGATTATTTTAAAAATACTAAAATTGGGGGCCAGCAGATGGCATAACGGTTATATCGCTAGACTCCCTCGCAGCCAAACATGGTCGAATCCCAGATCTGGTGACTTGAAAAATCATGCCAGGCACATGTGCTTGCATGCCCAAGATCCCAGGAGGAGAACGGAGAAGAAAGGATTGTGGCATGACCATCCCCCCAGGGGGTGATTTCTCACCTTCCCTTTCTTTGTTTCTGTCTTTTTCTCTCTCCAACGAGCACACACACCCAACGGCAAAAAAAAAAACTCTTAAAAAAAAATACTAAAATGAGTAAGCTGATTAGAGGGGAAATTCATTTTAGAAGAGAAAAATTAAGCTTGTTTATTTATTTATTTTTGCTATAGAGTGCATGTGCTTGCTGGAAAGAGACAGCGAGAGAGAGAGAGACAGAGAGAACATCCCCCAGGATAATGACTATGCTGCAATACTGTCTCCTCCATTCTCTCTTAGGATTTTGAGCATGCACGCTTATGTGTCCAGTGTATTTTTCAAGCCACAAGGTCCAAGACTTGAACCACGCAATTGGCCATGCGGAATCTAACTACCTTAATCACTACCACCATCTACCTGCCCAAGAGTAACTAATTTAAAAGTAAGTTCCCTAGGGGCCATCAGGTGGCATGGTGGTTATGGGGCTGCACTCCCAACACGGCTGACCACAGTTTAGGTCCCGGACCCAGTGGCTTGAAACTCTTCCTGGACATGTGCATGTGCACATGTGCCCAAAATCCTGAGAGGAGAAGGGGGAAGGGAATGCAGCATATCCTTCGCCCCTGGGGGTGAATTCTCACTTTCTCTGTGTGTCTCTGGCGAGTGCACACACCCTATAACAAAAATCTCTCTTAAAAAAAAAAAACACGATAATTTCTTTGCCTGCCTTTACCTCCATAAAAACAACTGGCATTCTCCAAGGGCATGCAAATCCCTGGAAACAATTCTCCTGTCATCTCCAACAACAGAGTGGTCACATCAGTCGTTAGTGACCTGTGTGAGTGCTTCAGGTGGTTACAGATCACCGCACACTTCATGCAGACAGGCTGGTCATCGGCAACACCAGTGACAGGATCTACTCTCCAGCTTACTGGTCTTTTCTATGCCAGTTCCCCAGGTTATTCATCTACCGCAGACTGTCTTAAGTAATCATTAAACCTTATTGGTATTTACCAAATATCCACTTTATTCCCAGAGCTGAGGAAAGTGTTCTCTCCAAACACACCTCCGGTTGACTACCGGCAAGTCCTCTGACCCCTCCTTTAACTTACTCTATCGACGCTTCTCCCTGCTCCTCTTCCCCACCCCGCCTGCCCTGTGTGGGTCTCACAGTAGGGCATGTCACTTCTGCACCCACCCCCGCCTCACAGTTAGGCATGTCACTTCTGCCACCCCGGGCCTCACAGTAAGGCATGTCACTTCTGCCACCCTGTTGGCAGAACCCGCGGGCTACTTCTGCACGAGGACACTCAACGTCAGGCTGCGTGGGCAGGACACTCGCCCTTCAGGTGTGCTACCTGGTAAGCTGCCGACATGCAGGCTGGCCGAGGGCTCTCCAGCAGCGTGAGACGTCTGCAGAGCTCGCACCACTGACTTACTCTCTCGTACCTTTACTCCCTCTTGCCTTCAGGCTATAAAAATTCTCAAGTACCTTGATCATACAAAAACTTCACCTTCTAAAAACCCAAGCTCAGGGCCAGCAGGTGGTATAGTGCTTAAAGTGCTGGACTCCGACATGGTTGACTGTGGTTCGAATCCCAGACCCAGCTTGACACTCATGTCAGGTGCATGTGTGTGTGTGCCCAAAATCCCGAGAGGAAAATGGAGAAGGGACTGCAGGGCATGGCCATCACCTCTGAAAGGTCGCTCTGTCTCTACAGCAAACACACACACCCTAGATCAAAACTCTCTCTCTGAAAACAAGCAGAGACGGCAGGAGGCATGGTGGTTAAGGCCACTAGACGCCCACATGGCGGACTGTGCTTTAAGTCCCGAACCTGGCAGCTTTGCTTTTTTGCTTTCCTTCTCTCTGTTTCTCTCTGGTCAACTTCAAAAAAATAAATTAATTGATTAAATAATGACAATGAATAAAATTAAATTTAAAAATATTCTTTAAAAAACAAACAAACAAACACCCCCCAAGCTTATGAAAGGAAAGGTCTCCTCCCACTTATTCGACTCATTGCCGTCTAGTAGTTACCTTGGGCTTGTCCTTCCTTACCCCAAAAGTTACTCCTTCACAGTCACTTTCTTGTATCCCGCTGCTTCCTTCTCCAGCAGCTCAGGGTCAGCCCTCGTCGGCTCTCACGTGGACTGCAGTGAAGTCTCGACTCCTCTCCTAGTCTCTCATCTCCTTCAAATGTTCCCTTTCCCGACCACTCCCGCACTGCTGAGGAGTCTTTATAAAACTCATCAGGAGGGCCAGCGGGTGGCGTGGTGGTGAAGGCGCTGGACTCCCACATGCCACCATGTCTGGAGTCCCAAACCTGGCGATTTGCTTTCTCACGTTCCCTCTCTCTCCCTCTCTCTGTCTCTCTCTAGTGAAATTAATAATAATAAAGAATAAATAAAATTAAATAAATAATGTTTAAAGGAAAGAAACTCGTACTGAACCACATTTCTCCCTACTTAAAACAAATCTATGACTTCTCAGTGTCTAAAAATTAAAATCCCAGACCCATGTAGTCCATCATGGTTCGAGTCCCGGACCCGGTGGCTTAAACTCACGCCAGGCATGTGTGCATGCGTGCCCCCAAGATCCCAAGAGGAGAATGGAGGAGAAGGGATTGCAGAGTGGCCATGCCCCCGGGGGGTGATTTTTCGCTATCTCTCTGTTTCTCTGTCTGTCTGGCGAGCACACGCGCCCTATAGCAAAACCCTCTACAAAAAATTAAATAAAAATAAAAAAAACTAAAATTAAAATCCAGTCTTCATTCTGAAATACACAGTTGTCTGTCATCAGCCCACTCTGGCCCCATCCAACCTATTATTAGAATGCTTCTTCTTCCTTGAACAACCCCTACACTTTTTGGCACCTTAAGTTCTAGCCTTTATGAATGGTACAGATGACAGGGGTCTTCAAAAAGCTCATGAAAAAATGTGTATTAAAAAAAAACATGCATGGATTTCAAAATAAACTCATACGTTAATTCATTTGTCCACAAACTTTTTGAAGTCCTCGCAAATATCCCAGAACCATGCTGTCGACCTCAAACTTCTTGTCCTCACAGTGCTCCATCTTCTGGAATTTCTACACTCCCCTCCTGACTCAGTTTACCTTCTCTACCTATCTGTCAGAACCTAGCTCGAGTATTGCTTCCTCTGCTGAGCCTCCTGCCCCAGAGAGCTTGTCAGTCTTTTTGCGACATCGCTTTGTCTACGTGATGTCCCTGTTACCGCATATCGAACCCTGACGCGGTAGCCGTAGCGTGTCTGCCTCTCTTCATGCTGTGGGCTCCTCGAAGGCATGGCTGCTTTCATCTGTCACTGTGCCCTCCATGCCCACCACCCCTGACACGTGTTGGACAAGTACCGCTGGAGAAAGGAAATTCAGAAGTAGAGTACAGAAGGAGGTTCTGTTTCCATACGAGTAACACAAGCCTGAGTCAGAACATACCCTACCTGGTAACTAACTGTTTTCTTTCCGTCGCTTTTAGTCTCCGGTAAGGTCAGGGGCCCAGACACTACCCAAACATCTTCAAACCTCTCTGTCAGCTCTCGGCAGTACATTTCCATTCTGGAAAACAAAGTAAAACCAAGGGTGACATTCTCACAGGTACACAAGTAGAAAAACAGCAACCATAATGCTCCTTAGGAAAGATGTCGCGAAAACTACACCTGAGAAATTAACTTAAACAAGAACAGAACACAAAACGTTACAGCCTACACAGCTCTTTCTGCCATCTCGGAGCCTGTGGAGGCTGCTGGGAACAGGACTTCTAAAAAGCAGCTATGTCTGGAAGGCTGTGGCCCAAGGCCATTTTTGCTGGCTATAAGCGGGGTCTCAGGAACCAAAGGGAGCACACAGTTCTTCTTAAAATTGAAGGTGTTTATGATGAGATGAAACGGAACTCTATTTAGGCAAGAGGTGTGCTTATGTGTACAAAGCAAAAAACAAAACAGTGACTCCTGGTGGCAAACCAAATAAAACCAGAAAAATCTGGTGGAATGTACAGTGGCATGGTTCGAGCCAAATTCCGAAGCAATCTTCCTGCTAAGGCCATTGGACATAGAATCTGTGTGATGCTGTACCTCTCAAGGATTTAAAATAATGAAACGTAAATGAATAAAAATGGATTTGTGTTGTAAATATATATATATATATATAACCTATATAAACAATGAATTTCCCAAACTTTATTATACGTCAAATTATCTACATTATCCCTTTGGAAAAGAAAGTGTTAAATGCTTCCACAGGTATGTAGTCAGCAAATCCAAAATACAAAAGGAAAACTCTATAGGACAAATATCTCAGATTTTTAAAAAGAATTATTTCACTTAGCTTTAGTTTATGTATTTATTTATTTATTTAAATTCGACCAGAGAGGGACTGAGTAAGAGAGAGAGAAAGTGAGAAAACAAGCTGCCAAGTCTGGGACTTGAACCACAGTCAGCCATGTGGGAGTCCAGCACCCTTAACCACCATGCTACCTGCCAGCCACACAAACATCTTAGATCTTTAACAAATAGCCTGCAAGGGTAAAAATAAAGAGAGGAAGGGAAACCTTCAGATTAAAGAGGACCAAAGGACCAGCAGATGGCATTAATGTTTATGTCACTGGACTCCCACATGGGGAACCACGGTTCAAGTCCCAGACCCGGAGGATTCAAACTCACGCAGGTGCATGCGTGTGCATGCCCAAAATCCCCAGAGAAGAATGGAGAAGGGACTGTGGCCATCCTCCCAGGAGTGTGATTTCTTACCTTCTGTATCTCTCTGTCTCTCCGGCAAGCACATGTGTTCTATAGCAAAAATCTCTCTTAAAAAATCTTAGAAGTGGCCCCCATGGGGAAGCTGCCGGCTCACAGGCAGACACCTCTCTCTGTGGCCCAAGTGTGCGTGTGCATGTGACCCAGCTGGGGGAGGCTGAGAAGTGGACAGTGGGGTTAGATCTGTTACAGGTACTGTATCGCTTTCTCTCTGGCTAATGGAATAAATAAAGCTTTTACAAAAAGCAGGGGTAATCAAAGAGATGTATAAACCAAATCTATGTATATATCTTTAATTCAAACAAACCAATAAAATATGTTCAAGACAATAAGGGAAATGTGAACACTTACTGGAATCGGTAATAAGATTACTGTTACATGTTTTAGGGGCAGTAATAGTACTACGGTTGTATTTTAAATGAATGTACACCTTCTAAAAATATAAACTGAAATATCAACTACCTGCAATCTGCTTAAAATACCCTGGGGGGAAGCAGGGTAAGTATCGATAGAAGAAACAATGGTGGCCATGTAACTGCTGAAGTCTTTTGTTAGTGGGGAGTTCTCTTCATTATTTTAAAACACAATAGCTTGAAACAACCCCAACCAGTGCTAGGTTTAGAGCTTAAAGAGGCCACCTAACAGAATCAAGTGTCAGAGAGACCTTCAGGCCCAGATGGTTTTAGAGCTCAGTCCTGTCAAAACCTGGTCAACAGCTGCATTAAAATGTACCAAAACTTGGGACCAGCAGTTAGCGTAATGGCTATGTCACTGGACTCCCACGTAGTCAACCGCAGCTCAAGTCCTGGACCCGGTGGCTTAAACTCATGCCGGGCGCGTGAGCATGCATGCCCAAGATCCCGAGAGGAGAATGGAGAAGAGATTGCAGTGTGGCCATCCCCCCTGGGGGGTGATTTCTTGCCTTCCGTCTGTCTCTCTGGCGAGCACGAGCACCCAATAGCAAAAGCCTCTCAAAAAAAAAAAAAAAAAAAAAAAAAAAGTTCAGGGGTTGGGCCAGCAGGTGGTAGGGTGGTTAAGCCTGATTATGAGGTTCAAATCCTAGGCCTAGCGGTTTAAAACACAATCTGGGCGCACATGCGTGGTGCCCAAAATCCCAAGAGGAGAAGAGAAGGGACTGGGGCAGGGCCATCCTCTAGTGTGATAGGTGGTCAGACCGAAATGCGCGGGCAGCCCTGAGGTAACAGCAGGATAGCTGTTACCTACCAATTAGTCCCACCAATCATAGCCCGTCAGGGAGCCCTCAGAGAACTGCTTCCTCGCACCTGGCTCCTGGCACCGGGAAGGTTGTCATCTGCCCTCCTGCCATCCCAAACATACACAGAGAAGTTCAGCACCGGGATGCAATGCTAAGTCAACATCCTAATTCACACTGGGACAATAAACTGATAGGGCCGTTCACCCACATACGGATGTCACGCCTTCAAGGTCCACGCTGGGCATGCGTGATGAGGTAAATAAATTCCTCACCTGAGAGAGGGATATGTAGCACAGGAAAAAGCCCATGAAGTCAGAGAAGCCATATATGACGACAGACCTTCCCTTGCTAAATTTTTATTACCGACTCTCATGATAAAAGTAACACCGAACCCCATGCTCAGTACAACAGTCCTGCTCTGGCAGCTGCCACCCACACTCCGTTCTGGCATAGGGATATTTCTTTTCTATTAAAAATCTTCACTTTCAAGACCAGCAGTTAGCGTAATGGCTATGTCGCTGGCCTCCCATGTAGTCGACCATGGTTCGAGTCCCGGACCTGGCGGCTTAAACTCATGCCGGGCGCGTGTGCGTGCGTGCCCAAGATCCCGAGAGGAGAATGGATTGTGGCGTGGCCATCCCCCCTGGGGGGTGATTTCTCGCTTTCTATCTCTCTGTCTCTGTCTGTCTGGTGAGCGCACGAGCCCTATAGCAAAAACCTCTCCAAAAAAAAAAAGGCTGCTGTGTTTTGAAGTCTATTCTCCCACAAAAGACTGTACTCCAGAAAAATAACAAAGAAAAGCAGTCCTTCACTTCAGGAGGGTTAGTTGTTTTTTTTTAAAGAATTATTTATTTACTTTTTTATTCATTCATTTTATTTTTTTAATTTGACCAGAGAGAGATATATATATAGAGAGAGAGAAAGAGGGAAAGTGAGAAAGCAAGGTGCCAGGTTTAGGACTCGAACCATGGTCAGCCATGTGGGAGTGTCCAGCACTTTAACCACCACGCCACCTGCTGGTCCCCCAGAGGGTTAGTTTTTAAAAACAAAGAAACAGCTGACAGACCCTCGTACATTCTCCTTTCCCACGATTCATCTTGCACAGAATTACATTTTAAAATTCTCACCCCTTACCTGTTCCAGTATCCGGAATTATTGTCAAAATTCTGAGGCACAATATTAGAAAGATAAAACGTTTCGGCCATGGCTTTCTATTAAGAAAAAAGAAAGAAAATTGTTACTAGCACTGAAATGCCATCCTCCCGGGACATGATTTCTTGCCGTCTCTCTGGCAAGTGCATGCGCCCTATAGCAAAAGCCTCTCCAAAAAAAAAAACACGCTAATGCCAGGACCAGCAGATGGCGTAATGATTATGTCGCGGGACTCCGGCGTGGATGAGCATGGCTCGAGTCCCAGACCTGGAGGCTGAAAACTCACGCCAGGCACGCGTGCTCAAGATACCGAAAAGAGAATAGAGGAGAAGAAGGGACTACAGTGTGGTCATCCACCCTGGGGGACAATTTCTCGCTTCCTGTCTCTGTCTCTCTGACAAGCACATGCACTCTATAGCAAAAATCTCTCTCAAAAGAAAAAAACAAAAAACACTAATGTCCAGAAGCCAGCAGGTGACACGGTGGGTAAGGCGTGGGACGCCAACAAGATCAACCATGGTTCGAGTCCCAAACCTGGCAGCTTGAAAAATCACAGCGGCACATGTGCGTGCCTACCCGTATTCCCAAGAGAACGGAGAAGGGATTGCGCATGGCCATCACTCCCCTCCTGGGCAGGGGGTGATTTCCCTCTCACTGTCTCTCTCTGGGAAGTGCACGTACCCTATTGCAAAAACATTAAAAGAAAAAGCAAACACTAGCGCTTGTTTGCCATCTCTGAGTTTCTGATTTAATAGGGCTGGGCCCTGGATTTTTGGAAACTTCCTCAGGTGGTGATAACGAGTACCCAACCAGTCATTCTAACTACCATCTGAATGGCGGACCACAACCTTCATGACAATAACACCAACAGCTCGTAATAAAGGTCAGTGTATGAAAAACACTTCATTAAAAATTTTTGCTATAGGGTGTGTGGTGCTCACCAGAGAGAGAGAGAGAGAGAGAGACAGAAAGTGAGAACACCCCACGGGGGGATGGCCGCATCGTCCCTTCTCCATTCTCCTCTCGGGATTTTGGCACACACGTACATGCGCCTGGCCTGAGTTTCTAGCCTCCAGGTCCTGGATGCACACCACAGTCGGCATATGGGAGTCCAGCCACAATAACCGTTTCGTCATCTGCTGGTCCCAACACTTCCGATCTTGGAGGGAGATTACTTCAGCTTAAAGAAGACTAAAGTGCTATGAAGACTAAATGTAACGTGATTCGTGATTGTACAGGGGATCAAAAAGAGCTACAGAAGCCATAAATAGAGTGATTCGGGAAATCTGCATATAAACTGTATTTTAGATATTACACAAATATACGAAAATAGTCTGTACATGGTCTTGATGTGACACTCTAGTCATGCATACGAATATCCTCATCCTTAGCTGAAGCAGCTCCTGAGCAGGCTATTGAAGAATAAACTGTTAAAACGTCTGCAATTTTTTCAATGGTTTAAAACATACACACATACGCATATGAATAATATGTAAAGTAAATGTATCAAAATGTGTTTGCTGTACTATTTTTTTCAACTACTCTACAGCTCTGAAATTTTCCAGACTAAAAATGAGTTTATCTCTCAGCAACTTTCTAGTCTCCATTTACATAGCATTTTGTTTTCTTCATTCAACCGGTTTAAAAATGTTGCAGCATCTAATCAAAACAAGAAGTCAGGGGGACCAGCAGTTAGCATAATGGCTATGTCGACTGCGATTTGAGTCCTGGACCCAGTGGCTTAAACTCAAACCAGGCGCGTGTGCGTGCGTGCCCAAGATCTTGAGAGGAGAATGGAGGAGGAGGGATTGCAGTGTGGCCATCCCCCAGAGGGGGCGGGTGATTTCTCGCTTTCTGTCTCTCTGTCTCTCTTTGTCTTTCTGGCAAGCGCACTCGCCGTATAGCAAAAACCTCTCCAAAACAAACAAACAAAAAAGTCAGGAAGAATGAGAAACAGAGTATAGAAATTCTGAGTGTTTAAGTTTGGTCCCCAAGTGTCTAATCTCTACGTCCTATGATATACATAGCATCAACCCTATAGTCCCACCCCTGCCCTCGAATATGCCTACACTTGAAAATTTGTTATTTCCGGCCGGGGCCATGTGCCCTCGTGACCACCCGCTGCCGATGTAGTCCTCATTGAAGGCACTGAAGGCTGGAGGGATGCTGGGATCAGGCTTGAACTTACAGTGTTTTCTGTCTGCATCACCTGAAGAAAAACACAGAACGGGCAAATTATCAGAGAACAAATACCCTGCAAGATCCTCGAAGCAAGGCCAGCTGGTGACTGACGGCTGGTACCTCTCCAAGCAGCTAGTGTGAGGGACTGTCTGCATGCCTCAAAGTCCCGGAGGATTTAGGTACTTCTCTGAGATTACGGGGTTGTCAGGAAAGTCATGACACACCGATACACAGAAAAACGAAAAGATACATCAAGACTTTCCCAACAACCTAATGGGAAGGACTAAGCTAGAAAAAAATGCCCTTTTTTTTTTTTCTTTTTTAGAGTATGCTATAGGACATGCCCAAAAAGAGAGGGAGAGTGAGAGCTCGCCCCCGGGATAATGGCCATGCCGTTCTTCTCTCAGGACTTTGGGCATGTGTGACTTTCAGGCCATCCATCAGGTCTGGGACTTGAACCGCAGTTAGCCATGTGGGATCCAGCTGCCTTAACCTCCACGCCATCTGATGGCCCAGGAGTGCTTTTCATACAGTGTAACTATCTCGTATAAATTTTTTTTTTTTTTTTAATTTTTGCTATCGGGCATGTGCGCTCACCAGAGAGACAGAGAGAGGGAAAGTGAGAAAGCAACCCCTTATGGGGGACGGACATGCCACAATCCCTTCTCCTCTACTCTCATCTTGGGATTTTTGGACAGGCACGCACATATGCCTGGCATGTTTTTGAAGCCACCAGGTCTAGGACTAAAGCCGTGTAGTCGGTCATGTGGTATCCAGCGCCTTAACCACCATGCCACCTGCTGGCTCTACGTAACCTATGTAACATAAATTTTGATTCTGGTCTTCCATGTTAAAGGAAAACTGCTGGCTAGGATTTAAGTGAAAATAATGGCTAAAGAGCTAGGCTGCATAAAAAGCTTAGCTACTGATAAATTCTTGACTTTCTTAAAAGGCCTCTGTATGCTGTATCTTGTATAAATGTATCTTGACAAATCGGTATGTGCTGAAATAATGGATGTATACAGAGACACAAAACAATTTGTTCTGGGCAGGCCTGGTCTGAGGTGGAGAGGTCTGGTACCCTGTGCTTACTGCCTGCTCTTCAGCCATGACAAAACAAACACTTACACTATGAGCTCCATCCAGAAATTCCGAGAGCAGAGTATCTGAGTACCACAGGAGGAGAAGAATCCCAGTTTCCACCCATTCTGTGATTCCTCCAGGATGGCTTGCCACAGAAGTCATAGGCAAAATTAACGCTGTTTTCCACTGTCAGTAGATCAGGTCTTGTTAACACTATCACATTATGAGCACGAACGGACACTCTCTGACTGCTACTCAAAGGAGTATAAGATAGAAATCAATGAAGTTACTAATTACATTTCACTTTGCAAAGAAAAATCTATAGTCACCAAACCGCAAGGTTTGGAGTAAAATACCTAGTATCGAGCTTTTGAGAATCACTTCGTAAAGAGAAAAGGTAATTGGTAATACAGAACAACCCTCATCAGTGAACTTGAAACCGGCACTACCACTGGAATTGCTTCCTCACGGCCAAGCTAACTCTCTGCCTGGTGCTCACGGCCCTTGGAAACTCATCTGTAGTAATCTTTTCTTTGCTATAGGGTGTGTGCATTTATCAGAAAGATCAAGAGACAGAGAGAGAAAAAGTGAGAAATCATCCCCAGGAGGATGGCCATGTCACAATCCCTTCTCCTCTATTCTCCTCTCGGGATTTTGAGCACACACAAAAACGCACCCAGCATGAGTTTGAAGCTGCCGGGTCTGGCCTGTGATCCGCTATACCAGAGTTCAATGACATAACCATTATGCCATCTGCTGATCCCATCATTTATAGTAATTTCTAAAGGCCTAAGAAGATGCCTTGGGTGAGGGTTGAGAGACAGAACAGTGATGGCAGGAGAGTGAACTGGGAAATCTACATAGAAACTAATCTGACATTAGTTATCAAGATCTAATCATCTCAACTAAGGACTCCACCAGGGTGGAAAGACGCATGAACTGACCGACGAGCCGGCCTACCCATCCAGCCTCCTCTCACAACACTCTCCCTGCTCCGGCCACTCTGGCCTTCTTCTAGGTCCCTATAAAGGAACAAAACTCTTCCTTTACATTAGGGTTTTAATTTTCTCTTTCTCTTTTTTTTAATTGCCAGAGAGTGCATGCACTGGCTAGAGATGGGGAAAATATTCCATAGTGACTACGTGGTCATGCAATAACCTTTTCCTTCCATTTCTCCACCCTGTCAGGATTTGGGGCACATACACACATGTGCCTGCCATGTTTTTCAAGCTGCCATGGTTGGGATACAAACCATGTGGGATTCGGTTTTCTAAGCACAGGACTTAATTGTGGCTCTACAGGGCTGACCCCACAGGTAGGTTTTCAAAGACACAATGACTATGTCCCATGGTCCATCCCACCCCTCTGCCTGGGTGACTTCCATTAACCCTTCAGTCCACCTTCTCAGAGAAGCATCACTAATCAAACCCAGGTTTTCCTGTTAAATCTCTCAACGCACTCTTTATTATTCCTTAATTTCACTATCCTAACTTACAACCACTTTCTTCAAAAAAGTTATCAATTATAATTTTATATTCCCAATTACTTGTTTGATAAGTCAACCCACTCACCCAACTTAAAGTGTCATGGAGGTAGAGACCAGCTTCTCGGGTCACTGATATATACCCAAGGCTCAGCACCGTGCCAGAAACATACAGGCTTTTAGAAAATATTTGCAGGGCCAGCAGGTGGCGTGGTGGATAGGGGCGCTGGACTCCCACATGGCTGACCCTGGTTCAAGTCCCGAACCTGGTGGTTAGCTTTCTTACTTTCCCTTTCTCTCTCTCTCTGTCTGGTCAAATTAAAAAACAGTAAGAATGACAAATGGAATTAAATAATGCCTTTTTTGTAAAAAGGAAATATTTGTTAAGATAAAAAATAGATGATGCTCTTTGCAACAATATTTAAGACAGAACCTCCGGGGGGACCAGCAGGTGGTGTGGTGGCTAAGGGGCTGGACACTCCCACATAGCCAACCATGGTTCCAGTCCTGGACCTGGTGGCTTGCTTTCTCACTTTCACTCTCTCTCTGGTCAAATGAAAATAAATGAATGAATAAATAATTCTAATAAATGAATAAATAATTCTAAAAAAAAAAAGAAGACATTATAAATAAGCCCCCATATTCTCAATTGGAAAACAGTTTTCACTGATACCTTTACTTCCATTTTTTTCCCAAACACCTACCTATGATCTTGCTTTTCGATATATGTTCAAGAACCCACTTAGGTACCCGCTTTGCCTGGTCATAGGACAAGGCGTGGTTGGTGTAGCATCGAGTCTGTGTCCCACTTAACGGGAATCCAAAGTGTTCCAAGACAGCCGTTTCTGCAGATTCTAAAATGGAAAAAAAAAAAAAAAAAGAGGGGGAAAAAAAAAAAAGGACCCTTTT